TATCATAAAAACTTTTTAACATTTAAAGTATAAAATATCTTAAAATAGACAAACACTAACTCTTTTTTAATAACATATGGAGTTCACCGGCAGAAAGGTCGGATTCAAAGCCAATTCAAGAAACAGGTGCACCATTTCCTTTTTCCCTCCAAATCCATGCTTAGCAAAATTAAGGAGATTAATGTGTCTTTCACTGAAATTTTAGAAGAATCAAATTGTATTAGACTGATAAATCACAGGCTTCACAGCCAAAATCGTGAAGCTCCTAGGCGAGAAGCTGATGATTCATTTTATAAGATTGAAGTTTTGCAAAGGGATGCTGATGTCTCAAAAATTGAAAGTTTGCTGGATGAGTTGAGCCAGGAACATCGCCTCTCTGGCCTTTCCATAGTGGGCATGCCAGGTGTTGGAAAGACAACATTAGCTAGATCAATATGTGTGAGGGCAAGGGAAAATCACCCCTCCAGTCTGGTGGCCTGGGTGCTGGTACGTGAGGATCTTAAAGAAGAGATGATTTTAGGACAGATGTTGCAATATCTTGATATCCGTGCTGGTGGAATGACAAAAAGCGATCCAATACTTCATCATCTTGAACCAATGTTAGAAAATAAAAAAATTCTTCTCATCCTTGATGGTTTATGGAATGAAGAAGATGCTCGGTGGTTGAAAGAGTTCATCTGTCGTCTGCCACAATGGTTCGCAACTGCTAGGATCTCTGTTGTCATAACAACTAGTAATAAAGAGGTAGCTTCAATAATGGACACAATTCCTTTGCATAAGCATGAATTGCAAAAGCTATCAGATGAAGACTGCTGGTTGATAATGGAGAAGAATGTTCTCAGATTGTCCAACAGAACTTCAATAGAAGATCCACAGTTGTCTGTTGGAAAGGATATTGCAGAACAGTGTGGGGGTTTGCCATTAGTTGCAGCTGTCTTTTTTTTTGTTTCTATTAGTTGCAGCTGTCTTTGGCAAGCACTACTCTGTCTATATTATAAAATAATAATAATATCATAAAGTAAATTGTAAACCGTACACTACTCTATCTATTATTCTTAACACATCATTTTAAATATCATAAAAATTTATAAAATTAAAATATAATGAATCATTATTTTTTAATAAATTATTTTTTAATAAATAACGTGATAAATCACTCAAAATATAGCATTAAAATATCAATTAATTTTTAAAAAATACTATCAAAATTTATTATATTTTTTTTAAGAAAAAACTCATTCAAAAAAATTTTTTTTATGTGATTCATTGTGATTTAACTTTAAATTAATTGAAATTAATATAA